TTATTGCAGGAGTTATGTTCTAAAAAAAACCTGTGACAGGTGAAATCCACGAAGTAGCTTAAATGTTTTACAGTTATAGATGTTTTAAGGCTGTAAAGCCCCTCACTACACACTTCTCTCAGACAGACGCGAACATTTTCACATTTTTCTCTCTTGTTTAAACTCTCAAAGTTCAAACCTGAGCGTTGTTCGACAGATGTGTAAAAACCTCAGCCACCTGAGGAAACAGAGGCTCCGGCCTGCTGTATGTTTTCAGAATCTGAACCACAATTAGAGCGAGAGCAGAAACAGCTTTGCCAAAGAAAATATGAGAATAAGCCAGAGCAGATCTGCGTCTGTGTTACATGTAAAATAATGCTGTTGTTCATCCCTGCAGCTGATTCTGCCAAACAAGCTCAAGCCCAGCAGCCATCCTGAATCTTCTTCTACAGACCAGCAACAAGAACTTCCATCAGAGAGGACTTAAAGACTTGCAGGAACAACAGAATAATTTGCATTAATGATCAAGGAACTGACCCCCCAGCCCGTTGTTCCCTCAGTGGCTGGGTTCAGTCATTGTGCAAATGTCCTGTTTATAAGGTTGAAACCTGCAGTCAGCTGAGACTGAAGACGTCGCCTGATGGTGACGAAACGTTTCTCCCACTGAAACGTCCAGATGAACAGAATCAACTTTTGAGGCAAACACAGTGATATACCTTACGTTAAGAACAGATTTAACACTGAATTTGATCATCGTATTACCATAACCTGCCTTATACCGAACACGTTACGCAGCTGGATAGTGTAGTGGCAAGACTGCACACCTTTGGAGTCGCGAGTCTGATTCTCACCCAGTAACAAAGAAAGGTTGTTGTTAAGCTTATTGTTGTGCACCTCTCTGGACATCTTATACAGAGACATGAACCTTTTGCAGGCGTCACGCACACCCCTCAATGTTCATTCAAGAACATTGAATGAAAAGGTGGTACTTTCGACTAGTAATGCATATTTTTGTGTGTGTGTTTGTTGGATCACGTTATGAAAAGTCGTCACATTTCAGGCTAAAAGAATGTGACAGAGGAATGCAGGTGTTTAGATTTAGATCACAGCCACTGATATTTAAGGACATTAAGTCGTCTTCATCGGTTCTTACACGCTTCTCCTCATCTTACTTTCTCAGCCTTTACACTCTTAACAACCAAAATATGTTTAGAAAAGTTAATAGAAAAAAGTATTGACTGAAAACCTGAAAATGTGGCATTTTGTGCAACATTATGAGATAAATAAGCGCTTTTTAAACCTGCAGTTCCGCTAATGTCCACTTGAGGCTCCACAGAGAGTCAGTCCCAATAATAATAATAATAATATTTCAAACTGTACTGCAGAAATGAACATGCTATGGAAAAACTGTTGGGGTCTCTGTGGGGCGGTGAACTTCTCACATGTGCCGGTCTCTGTTTAAACTCAGAAGTCTTCTTTTGTGTCGCTGTAACTTCATTAAAAGTCATTTTTGTTCAGTGTTTATGAGCTCAGATCTGTCAACATGAAGTACACAAAGCTAAACACAGCAGCGGTAACACCACAGCCAAAGGGTTTTAAAGCTGTGATGACAGAGCACAGCACTCGTGTCAAACATTTTATAAAAAGTTTCTTTTGCATCAGATTTACTTTGTGCAAAATAAAATCTCTGCAGAACCTGAAGGTTTTTTTTAATCTATGTGATAGAAAGTGTAACGGGTATTTTTATTGTACACATAAAGAAAAAGAAATCCCTTAAAGCAAAGACAGAAAAATAACTGTACAGGCTGCCTGTTGAAATTATTGGGTAATCAGAATCCACATGTCAAGACTGGAGCGAATCAGAGGACAAGAAATTCGTGTTGGTCCTTCTGATGTTATAATTAACGTGAAACTCAAATTTATTGATCCCTTAAATGTCTCAAGGTGTCACCGCATTAGACCATCAGTGTTAACACGACTCATTTTAAAGACACTCGGCTGCCGGAGAACAAGTCTGTACTCAAACTGTGAACTTTGAAGTTCAGCTGCTTCAGGTTTCGTCTGTGTCTGTTTATGTGTATTTACAGCAGGCAGAGACAAGAACGACTGAGGGACAACTTTTATTTTACTCTCTTTCTGAAGTTTAGTCGAAGAGAATTCATTGATTTTCCCTTAAACTGAACCTCCCTCAGTGAAATGTAAAGCTGCAAGGAACCAGTGCTGATAAATGGGAAAATAACTTCAGCATTTATTCGATAAGATTGTCCTCACCAGAGTTATTTATTTTTCAGTATTCTTTGACCATTTGTGTTCTTCCAGCTGTTTCCAGCTGTAGTATATTTAAATATATGTTCTCATAGAAATGATCTTTCCTTTTTGTTGAATATCTGAATCTTGTCACTCCTTAGTTGTTGTTTTTTAATAACTTGATTTCTGTCCAAATACTGCGACTTACTGCTGCAGTTAACATGCTGAGATCTTTTCCTGTGTGTGTGAAATGTTGCTCACATAGCTGATGAAACCTCGATGGACTGAAACAATTGAATTGATATTCCCACAGTAAGTGAGATTATGCAGAGACTTTTATCATTTTTGTAAATGTAAAATGTTCCCAGCTTTGTTCCACAGTTTTTTTAGAGGAAAAACATTTTTCCATATTCCTTCCATTTGCTTCCGTTTATCCTTTTCAGGGTCCACTATCAGCTCCTTTGTCTTACTGACGTTTAGAAGGAGGTTGTTCCTCTGGCACCAGTTCTCCAGATTCCTAATCTCCTTCAGGTAGGCCGTCTCGTTGTTATCAGAGATCAGGCCCACCACGACGGTGTCGTCAGCAAACTTGATGATGGTGGTGGAGCTGGTAGTGGCCACGCAGTCATATGTGTACAAAGAGTACAGCAGGGGGCTCAGAACACACCCCTGGGGGGCTCCAGTGCTGAGAGTGGTGGAGGCTGAGACATGTCCGCCCATCCTTACTGGTCTAGTCCTGCTGCTGTCCTGGTGTTCACTGTCTTGAAGGCTCTCCTCACGTCATGCTCGGAGATGATGAGCAACATCATCTCTCTCCTCCATCTCTCTCTGATCTGGTTCAGATCTCCACCCCAACTCGGTGTCTTAGATCTTCTTCTTCTCTTTCTCTCTCTATCCCCTCCCCCCGTCTTGCCACGATAGGGAGCTGCTCTGCTCCTCGACTCTGGACTTCCCGACCTCCTGATTTAAGAAATATCTCTTCCTTCTCTCTCTTTAAGTCTAGACTCAAAACTCACTCGTTCAAAATAGCTTATGCCACATAACCTCTCCACTCTGCTATGTTAAATGTGTTTTATGACTTTATGACTTTATGATTGTGTAAACTGTTTGCTTTTATTATTCTGCTGTGTACAGTGTCCTTGAGTGTTCTGAAAGGCGCTTTCAAATAAAACGTATTATCATCATTATTATTATTATTATTATTAAAGAAGACGGCTGAAAACAGAGGATGCTCACATTGATGTGTTCAGTTTGTTGGGCACTAATAAATATTAATAATAAATATAAAAATCGATCTTTTTAGCAGAGGTACAGGGTAAAGGTGAGACATTTCATACAGTTTGTAAGTGCACAAGTTTGTATCATTATATATTTAACAGAAATGTTGTGCTCCCATCAGACAGTCACATGTACAGGCTGAGGATCCCCTTCTTTGATTTCTGAAATGTGTTTAAAAGTTCAGGAAGGAGAAGCTCGAACACAGAGAAATGAGAGTATTGGAGGCATGTTAAGTAAAAAATATATGTGCTCTTTTTGATAATAAAGTCGAAATGTGGATGTTATTGTTTCAAGACAAACTGCCACGTTTGCTGTAGCCTCTACAACAAAGCAACTCCAGGCCTCGAGGGCCGGAGTCTTGCAGGTTTTAGATGTGTCCTTGAACCATCACAGCTGATTTAAATGGCTAAATTAGCTCCTCAACACGTCCTGAAGTTCTCCACAGACCTGGTAATGAACTAATCATTTGATTCTGGTGTGTTGACACATGGGTGAGATCTAAAACCTGCAGGACACCGGCCCTCGTGAGGCCTGGAGTTGCCCACTCCTGCTCTACAAAGTGCTTTGTTGAGATGAGTTGCACATCTTTCCATGACCAGCTGTTTCATTTTGTCCAATCCACCCCTCACAGTTTGTGTGTTTTACATCTGACTAGATTCTGTTTTGTGCACTCGCTCCAGCGTCCTTATACGTATCACCACAGTCATATATTTGTGTTCTAAAAGACAAATAATTTCTTTATTCTTTGTTACTAAAAACGGTTAATAACAAGAAAGGAAAAGTAGGGTTTCGCTATCTGAGAGGGTGCAGATGGCAGATTGTCTTGAACAACAACTGTAATCTCCACATTTTAGCTTTAATCTCAAAATTATCGATAATCATTTTTTTCCTAATATGGTCCTAATACTCACTGGTAGACACAAAACACGCGAAAAAATACACGTGCATTGAACGCCACATTTATATAGTGTCTAAATTCAGAGCAGGCCGTGAACGCGCCGCGGGCAGGAAATAGGTACCTCAGAAGATGAAGAAGAAACACGGTCGAAAAATCAAATAAAAGCGAGTTTAGAAATGAGAAGAAGGTCTCCTGTATGTGTCACATGTTCTTCATCACAGTTCTCGTCCTTCTGGGGGCAGGACTGGCTGCCAACAGCGGTGAGTTTACTTTTTCAGGACATTTTAATGAAAGTGAAAGTAAAGAAGGACCGTTACTTCACGGAACATATAAGGCGTTTTTATTTACTTCATGACAGTGATGTAACACGAGCGCACGGGTACAGCAGACACGCAGAGGTCGGTTTACTCATGATTACGAACTCTTAGAAATCAGAAGGTGTGTGTGTGATTCGTTAGTAGGCACCTGCCCAAACCTCCTCATGTCGTTTATAAAACTGCTCATTAGTTAGAATTATTTTAGATTCTATTTTATTAATCTTCAGCATCGTGTGAAGAAACTACATCGAAGCGGCCTAATCTGGCATAAAGTCTTGGCTTGAGCAACAGATGTTTGTCAGACGTTGTGAAAGTGGCAGGGAAACCCAACACCATCAAACTCTCCTCCCTTCAACCCAGCTGCGATGGCCGCGGCACAACACACCACGTTACCAACATTGAGACGTGCACGGCCGACAAAATTGGCTCACGACACAGCGACGCGGCAGGCATCATGGCACTGTCAGACCCCACCCACATCTGCTACCCTACTTCACACCACCTGAGACTGCCCCATGCATCCTTCCTCCCCCTGTCTCACCCCTCCAATCCAAATATCACTCCCACATTTAGTGTGTCACCACTTCACATCCTTGCCTCTCGCCCCCTCACCTGACAAACCCCTCCCTTCTCGAGTGCTGATCATGTGAGGAAGGAGCTAAAGAAGATTAAGTCCAGAAAAGCAACAGGCCTGGATGGTATCAGGTCATTTACCTCCCACCTCTGGTGAGCACGCTGCTGGCCCTCCTGCAGTTCACTCACCGTCCTGGTACTGGGGGGAATGATGCAGTCATCTAACTCCTACACAGATCACTGTCACAACTGAAGAGTACTGGAAGCACTGTGAGAGTTAGCGCCATCTGCTGGGCAGACTGAGCTGAGTTTGCAGAAAACCTTTTATGACACTGGTGTAGATATGAGGAGAAATGGAGTTGAGGTAATAGGGAGCAGGTGGAGGAGAGCCTGGAGAGGTGAAGGTATGCTCTGGACAGAAGAGGAATGAAAGTCAGTAGATGCAAGACAGAATAGATGTGTGTGAACGAGAGGGACACAGGTGGAAAGGTGAACATGTGAGGAGCAGAGGTAGTGAAGGTAGATTTATTAAACAAGCAACAGACAGTGAAGAAGAGAGCGCAGTCAGCTGGAGCTTCTCAGCTGTGCAGCGTAAATAAATATCTTTCTATGTTTTTCTTCCCTTTCTGACTTTCAGAGATTCACTCCCTCACTTGCATCTACACGGCGCTCTCCAAACCCGACGGCACTCCGGGCATCCACAAGTTCACAGCCATGGATTTGCTGGATGGCAGGGCGATCGAGTACTACGACAGTGAGAGTGAGAGGAAAGTTCCCAAACAGGAGTGGATGAAAGAGTGTTTATCTGCTGAGTACTGGGGAAAAGGCACAGAAGAACAGTGGTTAGAAAGCCTAATGAATCGAAAGAGACAGAATGACTCGGGTAAGCTCCACGAAATGTCGAGCACCATTAACAAGAGCACCAAGTTGATCTCCAACTCAAGTGTTTCTCTATAAAAATGTCTTTTGCGTTTTTCAAGTCAGGACAAAGTTGTTCCTGCTCATTTGTTTACATCAGAAGGTTTTTTAATCTCTAACCTGCCCTTTATTTATTTCGCCCGTCTTTCAGTTGTCCACGTTCTTCAGGGGATGCGTGGCTGTGAGGGCAAAATGCAGCCTGATGGCACGCTCAAGTTTCATCGCGCTATGCACACGTACGCCTATGATGGACACGACTTCCTTTCCTTCGATTCTAAAAACAAATTCTGGATCGCCGCAATTCAGGAGGCCCAACTCACCATGAGAGAGTGGGACAGTGATCAGGCCACGAAAGAGCGCATCAAGAGATACCTGGAGAATGTGTGCATCAAATGGCTGAAGATGTTCTTGGTTAGGGGGGGAAAGCAACTAGAAGAAGCCCGTATGTGTTTAATAATCTTTCTGTTGTTATAATCTTCATTAGTAGAGTTGAGAGTAAGTAGATTTAGTAATAAATGTTTTTGTTTGTTGTTTAAGTTAGTTGTGACCCAGAAGTTTGGTCTTATACCTTTGTGTCTTTGAGTATCACCTGGTGTGTAGGAGTTCTGTTTGAAAGGCAGGTATCATTTCAGTTACAACTAAAATGAATTTTGAACAAACTGTAGGTAAAATCAGGTGATCAGTGTCAGACAGTAATCAGTTCTGAGGTCAGTCAAAATCCCAGTTTGAGCTTCATGGTAACTGTGGTTCTGCTGTGAAAGTGTTGCATTTCAGCCAAAACAGTAGCTCTCTTACATGTTTTCTCACTGAATGAGTTTCAAAAAACAATTTCTTTTCTTTTTTTTTGAGGGGGGGTTACTTGTACTCATTGTATTTTCTCAGAATCTAAATCTGCCCGGCTGTTACACTAAAGCAGGGTTCGCTAACCAGTCGATCAACCTGTCAATGAAAGTAGGTCGCACAGCATTTTAGGCTATTAACATATTACTTTAACCTATCAGAAGTTCAGTCACTTCTCTGAATGTCTCGTGATGTTTGATTGGCTGCAGAGTCGTTTGGCTGAAACTGCAGACGTGTAGCAGGGTAAGATGGCAGATGGCGTCCGTAAGAAGCCGAAAACCTACCCCTCTCATTCAGAATGGGAGCGTGAGTTTTTATTCACTTTGGTCGATGACAGAACAGTCTGCCTGCTTTGCGCCCAAGCAACCTGTAGATGAAGAAAAGGCCAAACTGAAGTCGAGGGCAAAGGAGAGCAACGTCTGGGAACTTGTGAGCAGAGAAAAATGTCCTCTCCCGTTGTGCAGTGAAAGACACAACTGACAAACACCTTCTTGACTGTTTGAGACTGGCTGTGTCCAACTATGAGCCCGACTACAGAGCACTAACTGATGCTGTGCAGTCACGGTCATCACATGAGCTTTTGGTAGATTTTATACAGTGTTAGGGGAACTACTGTGCATTATATCTGGTTACAGGTGTCATGGAAGTTTTCATTTAATGAAGCCTGCAGACAACGGTGAGTGGGAGCTGACATCCTTTAATAAAAACCCAAGCTTGGTGAGAGAGAGAGCGGCTATCAGCACACTGACCAGCAGAGTCTCTCCCTCCAGCACAGCCCTGGGTTTAAATACCTTCTACAAAACAAAAGGCAGTACACAGCTGGTTTACACCTTTGGTTTTCCCCAAAGAAAGAGTTCACACTCCCTCACACCTCTTACAGTGGTTGATCCCCTTGAGAAGCTATCACACTAACTTTGGCTATGTCCACCATAATGTGTTTTTGTTTGAAAACGCATTATTTTCTCTGTGTTTTGGCCTCCCGTCCACACTGAGACTGCGTTTCTCGCTGATTGAAAACTCTTTAGAAAAAGCGTACATTTTAAAACGGTGCATTCGCGTCGCAGTGTGGACAGCAAAAACGGAGACTTTTTCAAAACTATGACACATTTTAGTCATGTGATGCAATCATGTGACTGTAACCCAACCAGTGCAGGGGCCTCCCTACACCCCGGACTCTGCGTTGTGTAAGTTTGTGTTGGATTGGGGTTCACAGTAGAGAGACCAGTCGGGCACAGGCGTTTATTCAGATGCTGGGGCAAACACCACTCCAACTCTGCTGCTGGCCCTTTGCAAATCACAGTAAACACTGAACCAAGATGGCGCCCACACGAACGAGAAATCTGAACTATGGTGTCCTGCAGTGGACAAATGGTCAAATTTGCTAAAATATATGTATCTATCTAATCTATGTATATGCGGTTCAACAGTGACACCTTGTGACCAATTAAACCAAGATAGCGGAGGGCATGATACAGCAGCTGATTTGTTTGCTCTCAGTTCTGACAGCCCTATTAAAGATTAATATCAGTCTGTACATGCTCCTGATAGCTTTTCTTCAATTCTCACTCACGTTTGCAACTTTGTACTTTTGTGTTACTCACAGCAACAACTCCACCTCATTTTTAGTCCATTTAAAAGACTCGCTGCTTTTCCTTGACATTTTGCCGCGACTTTTCACTAGGTATCCCCGACAGAATTTGTTTCCCCTGCGTCGGGAGCACACGCTGTACTGTCCAAAATCACTGACAAACAGTCTCCCACATTGCTGATTTTTAGTTCACAAACACTTGTTATTATGACGCATTACTCCTGAAACTTTGGAGGATTTAGCTCTTTATATAGTAAAGTTACAGGAGAATAAAAATAGTTATCAGCCAAAATGTTAATGGTTTGTTAAAATAATTCCATCTGATACCCCGTGAGCAATAAATATATAATTTTCTGTTGTAACCCTCAAACTGAACGGTAATGTAACGATACTAATTTTTCACTTTTTCACAAAATCAAAACATCAGTACTTCCTGCGTGCTTCCAGCAGAGGGGAAACAAATTCTGTCAGGGATACCTACTTTGGCACAACACCGGAAGGTAAATAAACAGCAGGCAGAAATGGGGCAGGTCGAATCGTCTTGCATTTCATGCATGTGCAGGACTGGAACGTAAGCGTTTTTGCCCGTTTCAATGTGGACGCACAACTCTGTGAAAACGACTGAAAACGCTAGTGTGGACGCCGAGCGTTTTTAGACGAAAACGCCGTTTTCAAATTTATCTGGGCTAGCATGGATGTAGCCTTTGTGACAGTTTAGCATAGTTTGGGTTTGAAATGCTAGTGCTTCTTTTTTTAACTTTGTTATTTGTCCTGTTATTCAGTGTGAAATCTAAAAATCTCCCCTTTCCCCTAGAACTCAGTGTAATGCAGCGCAGCTTTTCTTTTATATATTTTGATATGTTCTACCTTCTCTGCAGATTTGAGACTGTTGTGTCATTTTTTTTAGTTCAGCATATATTATTCTAAATTAAACTTGTTAAAACTGACCATTTGTTCAGAGGGGAATCAATATTTTTCAGCATTTGTAGAATTTTATGCCTTTGAAATTTGAAACTGTAGATCCTGACCTTCATCTTAATGTGTAAAGTTGACGACCGCTGCAGTAAAGACTAATATCTTTTATGCTTGTGGTCACATTGACCCCAGGAATCAAAATCTTCCAAACATGTCAGCCAAATAATTTAAATAAGTAAAATTCAATTATACATTTTTAGATTACAGGTGACAAAATCGCTCAAATGGAAGAAAATGTTAGATGAACCTAAGCTGTTTGAGTGAGTAGGTGTCATGGTCCTGTGTTCTGTTCATGTCCCCGAGTTTGTGTTGTAAAACAGTCTGTGTGTTTCTTGTTTTACTTTGAAAGTGTGTGTCTCGGTGTGTCTACTTAGGTTCAGCTGTGTGTCATTCCGTCGTTACCTTGTGTGTATTTATAGTGTGTGCCTGCCTGTGTTCCTCGTTGGTTCGTCTGTGTTATCCTGCATCTTTTGGGCGTCTCTGCGTCTCTCTGCGCCACACTCTGATCTCCATTCCCAGCTCTTCATCCCTTCATCCCTCTTGTTTTCCCTGCATGTGACTTTGTGAGTTATGGTTTCGTGTTTTGTTATTATTAGTTTTCCCCAGTTTAGGGTTATGCTTAGTTCTGCCCTCGCCTTTTCTTACTGAGCACTACAAATAAACCTCACTCGCATCTCCACTGCTGTCTGCAACTTGGGTCCTCATTCACTCCACCACACGACTGCTGCCCCCGCCGTGACAGTAGGAGTGTTTTTAAAAACTTAAGTTGACATTAACCATTTATTTCATTACTTTGAGTGTTTACAGTGCAGGTGAGCTGTTTCTGTGTGGAGACCTCAAAGCAGCTGTGGAACTTTCCCAAGTGGAATCACTGAAATCACATTTATATCCTCAGGCTGCATAGAGAGAAAGATTTGGCTGCAGCCTAAGCAAACATGCTGGCAGTGCTAACAGAAAAACAGCAGTTTGTAGTCCAGCGGTGATGTTCAGGATGTGAATGCTGATTTACATGTACATGTATAATGAGTTTTCATTGTTTTTAACATGTAGTTTTATTTCACCTTTTGCACATTATGTATTCTCTGTGGCGAGAGTTAAGCCAAGGCAGAAACAATAACTAAAAAAGATCTAAAATCTGTGAAAGTGAACAGGTTTCTAATTTTAGTATCGGCAGCATGCCTGTTTGAAATCGCAGTAGTTGCTATAATGAGTGATTACATTTATTATTAAGGTATTGATTACAGACGTACAGTTATCTTTTAGTTACCTCGTGCACATTATTTTTCTCTCTCCAGCTCCGCCTGTCGTGTACGTGTTTGCAAAGAAGGCCAAAGTGGAGACAAACCTCATCCTGACCTGCCTCGCCACAGGCTTCTACACAAAAGACATCATTGTTAGGATCAAAAGGAACAGACGTGTTCTCGCTAAAGAGGACGGCCTGATGAGCTCAGGAGGTCTTCCCAATGGAGACGATACCTTCCAGAGGAGAGACCATGTGGAGATACTAAAGTCTGACTTGTCAACGTTCATCTGTAACGTCACTCACGAAGCAACAAACATAAGTGTTAAGAAGCTTTGGGGTAAGAAACTTTGCTGTTTTTCATTTGTCAGTTTTCTTTCTTTAGATTAAAATAGTGAGGTTTTCTGTTTGTCTACTGGATCCTGCATCACAGACATTTTAGTCATATATGAGAGTAACCCAGCCACAAGAGGCCACAAGCCAAAGCTCTCCTAGTTCCCAGATAAATGGAGAGGGTTGCATCAGGAAGGGTATCCAGCATTTTGATGCAGATCATAAAAAATATGATTTCCGTATTGGAAACGATCTCCTCCAGTGCTACTGTTAGCCACAGAGGAGGAGAAGGTGTGTGGAGGCAGTGAGAGAGAAGGAAAGGCAGGAATGTGGAGCTAAGAGTAGGACTCTAAATGTAGGAACTATAACTGGTAAAGGGAGAGAATGGAGAGAAGGACGGTGCATGCAGGAGAGCAGGAAAGGAAGCAAGACCAGGAGCACTGGAGCTCGGCGGTGGACTCTTTAACCAGCCTGTTTAAGAG